AAATTAGTTATTTTATTTTAATAACCAAAAATAATTGTAAATAACTATTTGTAGATTTTCGTTAGTGGGTCGTAGAAAAAATATACTGTACAACTTTAGTGTATTGTCCAAACTAATATTTTCTACACCCACATGGATATTAGCTATTCTACGCACAGACTACAAAACGGATATATTTTATATCCATTCAACCTAGTAAAAACATTGCGTAACAATGAAATCCACCAATCACTGTTCATATTTTTGTCATCCGGCTACTATTTTTTTTTTAATTTTTAATTCTGTTAAACTAATCGTCAGTATATTTTTTAGTTACTGATATTAAATATACATTAAAATAAGTTATTTTTGTGTAGAATCGATAAATAATAGCATTTATATCTTTATTTCATCTATATTTACAAATAAACCATAATTTTTAATAAAAATATGTGAAACCAATTTAATTACGACCAATTAATTATGACTAAAATGTTATGTGTGGCGATCCCTCCAGCATTGGACCAAAAGAAATATGGTCTCCCTATCCAAGAAGCACAATTTCAAAAATGGATGACTATCCAGCAATAAAAAATAAGTTTGTATGTATACAATGATAAATGCTACGTTTGAAAAATACCTCTACAAGCAGAGCGAGTATATTTTTTGGTCACGTGACATCGAGCAAACCATATCAATGGAGCAAACAAAGCTTGGATATATTAAAAGAATGGTATTTAGTAAAAAAAAGCAAATAAATGCTCCAATTTGTAGTGCCCTCGGTAATACGAATTTTAAAAACTTTCTGTTGTTTGTTACCTACCTATCAATCACTTAAATAAGCAAGTGATACTGATTTACTGATTAATGGAATAGGTACAAAAAAGGATTTTGCTCAAAATTGGTCAATAATCTGTTGATTTATACCCTTAGAAACAGTTGGGAAACATTACAGATTTGCCACCAGCATCATCAAATCACGCAGAGATGATTGAACTCCAGAAACTAGCGTCAGTCAGGAACAAAAATTCCCTGAGTCGAGATGAGAGTCGCCAGTATGTTCAGATTTGAACATTTTTTCTTTATATTTACATATTAAACTAACATCCTGTATAGGAAATAAATTCTTTTATTTAATTAAAATGTTTATTTCATATGCAGGTAAATCATAAAAAATTTTGACTTTTCTAAATTATATTTTGTACTGTAGATTGAAATTGGAATAGGAATACTTTATTAATATATATTTAAAATTAAATATTGCTAATTATTATTTTATTGTTTAATCTGCAATATTATTAATTTAGATGCAAATGAGAAATAGAGAGATTGATTAACAACATCTGACAGTATTACTTACAAACTTCTCTTTGAAAAGGAAATCATGAAAACCATCTGGTAGTATCAATTACAAAATTTACCTTTAAATTCTAGTCAGACATGGATGTAGTTTATAAGTTATTAAACAAAATGAGGTGTTTTGAATAAAAACATAAATAGGACCGCAGAATAGATTTAATATATAAAAAGTAGGTAAATAAAAGCTGTAAACTATTAAGTTTTTTGCATAACACTCAATGTCTTTACGCACAAGCCACCGCTGTTTAGAATAGTTACTTATTGCAAATCATTTAAACCGTTCATACAGAGGTCAATATCCAAAATTGTATTTTCCGATGGCTTTTTTTTTTTTTAATTTTGATTAATTTTGATTAATTTTGATTAATTTATATGATGGGTACAGGCTAAGAAATGATAAATTCACTTTTAAATAATTTTAGGTTTTTATTCGAATATTGAAAGATTGTAGGTTAATATTTGCTGTACAGGCTTTCAAACTTTAAAATTACTTCGCTGAAAATACCCCTACTACACCCTTCATATGTTATTACTGTAACATACCACACCCAGGTACCTTAATAATTTATTAATTCCATTTACTAATTAAAATATTGTATTCTTATTAAATTCAAAATACTTCATTTAACGAAAAATCTCCCAGATAATTAAATCTTATTTACGACACCTAATAAATAATGCCCGTAAGAGATCCATTTTCTTAAAAGTGTCTGGGAACCCGACCTGAAACCATCTTAAAACATATTCCTTTTTACGAAGTATTCCTCATTAAAATACTTAACTCACTTATCGTTCTAGTTTCGATGCTAATACTGATTTCGACAATATTTCGATACATAAAGCTCTCAAGGCACATAATAAATATAACACCCACTTTTCTTTCCACCATAATTCGTTTTTCGCTGGGAACTAAGAGAAACTGAGACGTCACAAAAAGAAAATAAAAAGGGGTATAAGAATCCGGATCCAAATGAGCTCGGATTCATTAAATTTTTATTATTTGATAGTATTTTATTTTTTATTATTTATTATACAGTCTGTACCTTTCCTAAAATGCTCTTCCTAAATTACGTTTAACCTACAATACCTTCTTCAGGGGAAGTTTAGGGATTCGCGGACGACACTTCAATATGTTATAAAGCTAACTCATGGTTAGAACTAAAGCAGAAAGTTGAACAGGACCTCCCAAATCTGAAAAGCTGGTTTGACAGTAAGTTACTGACACTTAATGTAAATAAAACCCACTACTTACCATTCAGTAATAATATTATAACAAGACCTCCATTTGACAAATTAACTGTTACTGCTTCTGGGAAAACACTTACCATTCTCCTTGAAAACAAGATAACATATCTAGAGTTTTACATGGATTCATATCTCAAATGCAGAGAAAACATAACTTTGTAATACCTTGTCCATATTTAAAAATAATTTAATTTTTTTTATCAAAAATGAGACAATGAACGTAGTAAATAATATTCTTAAAAATAACTGATATTTATTTGCGTTTTGTATGATCAACGTTTCGATATGTTTTTAATTAAATGTTATTTTGATTGTGTTTGTCTCCTATATAAAATATTATCTAAAATGTATATTTTTTTTCTACAATGCATTAATTTTATTTTATATGTATATATTAGTTTATATTTTTTTTATATTTATATTTGTTCTCAAAACAAGTGCTTTATTGAGTATTAATATTTATTTATTTGAAATTGTTATTTGTATTACTTTGTAACTTATCATTCTTGAGTAAATATTATTATTATTATTATTATTATTATTATTATTATTATTATTATTATTATTATTATTATTATCCTCGAAGGTGTCAACGTCTCGACGCCCAAAGTCCAGCCGTCCTACTTTCCTACCTTTCTACGCTATCACTTCTAACACTACTTTAGTATTTCCTACCATTATATCCTTCCCGACCGTCAACGTCTCGACACTCAACGTCCAGACGCCCTACTTACCTACCTTTATACATCTCAAACGCTGTCACATTCCTCACTATCTAAGTTTTTCCTACCTTACATTCATTCCGACGCCCAATGTCCCATCGCTCTACTTCTCGGCGCTTGCCGCCCCTAAATATTTCCTTCATATCCTTGTTGACACCCTTCGTCACGTCCCGCACCACCTAAATATTTCTACCCTTTATCTTTCCCAATGCAGTACCATATTAAATACCTTCCTCTCCACTACGACGCTAGGAGCTTCGACGCAAGGCGACGCTTAACGCTGCGACGTACATAAATCGACGCCGTCACAACGCTAGAAGAAATTAGTACTTAATTTAATGTCTTTTTTCAATTGTGAGTCAAAAGATTTATGTAACGTTCTTGGAGATACCACATTTTTACCAAAATATTATCAATTTATCTAATAAACCATATGGCCTTCAGTCGTCCACCCCGAAAGACAGTTGGGTTAATTTAAGTTAATTCAATAGATAAACATCAGTATTAAGAAATATACAGGGTTGTAATAAGTTATTTCAATAGAAATTATAATAATCAATATTAAAAAATATACGGGGTTGTACTAAGTAATTTCAATAGAAATTATAAAAATTAATATTTTAGAAATATATAGGGATGTGCTATCTTGGATAAATTTGCACAAACCAAGATGGTAAAATTTAACAGTAAGTTATCCAACTGGTGAATACACTATTCGTTAGCTCAGAGGGGGACACCTATATGTTAAGCCATCCAATCTACAAGGTTTGAAACAAAATATATGTGAATTGGCGCTGTTCGTTACTTTCGTTGGTCATCACCTCTATACTCGTCGAAATATTTACCTAAGAGGGTGCAACCTGTGTATATCTAGAATATAATCAAATTAACATCAACACAGTAGTTAACCAACTGGCGAATTGGCGCTGTTTGTTAACTTCTTTGGTCATCAACCTAAATAAGAATATAAACATCAACACAGCAGTTAACCAACTGGCGAATTGACGCTGGTCGTTAACTCCGTTGGTCATCAATCTAAATAAAATATATATTGATAGCAAATGAATGTGGTCTGCGTTTGAACGGGACTCAAGTGAGATCTCAATAAATAGTTACAATTGTAATATACCTAATTTGCTAAAATATGAATTTGTATGTTTTATTTATCAATTTGCACCAAACTTTGCATCGAATCCTGGTTTACCTTAATTAACACTATCACAACGTGGGTATATAAATTATCAATTAATTAACTAGACGATCACTTCTACTACTTGAGGAAAAAGGCCAAATACAGTAAGTATAGAATTTAAAGTAAAATAAACTTGTGATGTAAATAATAACATTTTAGGGGTATCGAGGGTGGGCCGTTACATTATATAGCTGTGTTCAGTATTGAAGGTTTATTGAAAGTATCTGTCGGAATAACAAAGTCCCATTTGTCTATTTAAACTAATTTTGTGGCAACCCTGTATATATATTCAAACAATTTTGACCCCTAAATTAAATTGATTTTTGTTATTTTGAACTATTTAAAAATTCGCCAACTCTAAAATCTAATCACTTCTGCATACAAACAAAGTAGGTACAAACATCTGGTAAATAACTTATTTTTAGAACAAATTATAATATACAATCTAACACCCACACATAATATCGCAAGCATTGAAATTGAAATTCTTATTGAGAAGAAATATGCGTTTTAGCTTCTAACGCTCTTGTTTTTTTATTGTGCGCCACTGTTTAATCGTTTATCATTATTTACTGGCCTCTTTAATTAACGAATAAAAAATTACACTTGATCTGTGGAACTGCAGTGTGATTGTGCTCTCTGATTAATACAAGGAAAACCGCAAAAATAACATAAATATAGGTAAGTGATAGAGAATTGTTTTACTCGATTTGTTCATTTTTTAACAAATAAATGGTATTTTCCATGTAAAAATGATATTGATTCATAATAATAAAGAAAAAAAGAAACTTGCAGTCGCTTACAGATATTTTTTATTGAGAACTAATTAGTATCGGTTAAAGTGTACCAACATTTAACCTAGAAGAAGAACAAACGATGATAAAAGCAAATCAAATATCTACGAGCCCTAACCACTTTCCGATTTATATTAGGAAACTTAAGGTTGAAGAACATCTATTTTTTAAAAATTACTTAAATTTAATAGTTGTTGATGTTTCTACTATTTGTGAAAGCATGACCCACCAAGATCTTATTTAAAAAAAAAACAGTATCTAATCGAAAGATTCATAAATGACCATTTAAATGTTCGAGCAATATCCTTCGCAGTTATTAAATTTAATGTTTGGGAGGCTTTGGAATTTTTGACATTTAGAATTTTTTACGTGTTTAGCGCACATACTGAAACACTAACTTATTTTGTGTTTTGACGTTTTAAGTTGTTAAAAGAGTGAGACGGTAACATTATGAAATATCTTGTCCAAAATTTTTGGATATATTTAATTGATTGTAATCTATTATCTTGTTCTTCTTCTAGAACACTGATCATGGTCAACGTTGACCGAAACAAGTTCCCAATTACTCGTGTCAATTTTGACAAAATTAGTGCCAGGTATTGGATAAAACGCGCTACGTTGCTATAACTTCGCACACGTAATTTTAATCCCAATAACTTTTTGCTAGGTGAAACCATTTTTCCCTCCATAGCCTACAAGGGGTACTTTAATCATTTTAATTTTAACAAAATTAGTGCCAGGTACTAGCAAAAGCAAGCTAGATAGCTAAAACTTTGCACACGTAATTCTTATCCCAAAACCTTTTTGCCAGGTAAAACCATTTTTCCCCCATCGCCTCCAAGGGGTACTTTACTCCTGTCAATTTTGACAAAACTAGTGCCAGGTACTAGACAAAACGCTCTATGTTGCTTAAACTTTGCACACATATTACGTAACTCAATACCTTTTTGCCACGTGAAACCATATTTCCCCTTATTGCCTCCAAGGGGTACTTTACTCTTGTCAATTTTGACAAAATTAGTGCCAGGTACTAGATAAAACGCACTAGGTTGCTAACACTTCACACACATAATACTCAACTCAATACCTTTTTGCCAGGTGAAATCATTTTTCCCCCCATCGGCTTCAAGGAGTATTTTACTCTTGTGAATTTTGACAAAATTAGTGCCAGGTATTGGATAAAACGCGCTAAGGTTGCTAAAACTTCGCACACATAATTCTTATCCCAATACCTTTTTGCCAGGTGAAACCATATTTCCTCCTATCGCCTCCAAGGGGTACTTTACTCTTGTCAATTTTGACAAAATTAGTGCCAGGTATTGGATAAAACGCGCTAGGTTGCTAAAACTTTGCACACATAATTCTTATCCCAATACCTTTTTGCCACGTAAAACCATATTTCCCCCTATTGCCTCCTAGGGGTACTTTACTCTTGTCAATTTTGACAAAATTAGTGCCAGGTACTAGACAAAACGCGCTAGGTTGCTAAAACTTCGCACACATAATACCTAACTCAATACCTTTTTGCCACGTGAAACCATATTTCCCCTTATTGCCTCCAAGGGGTACTTTACTTTTGTCAATTTTGACAAAATTAGTGCCAGGTACTAGATAAAACGCGCTAGGTTGCTAACACTTCGCACGCATAATACCTAACTCAATACCTTTTTGCCAGGTGAAACCATTTTTCCTCCATCGGCTCCAAGGGGTACTTTACTCTTGTCAATTTTGACAAAATTAGTACCAGGTACTAAAAAAAACACGCTAGATTGCAAAAACTTTGCACACGTAATTCTAATCCCAATAACTTTTTGCTGGGTGAAACCATTTTTCCCCCATCGGCTCCACGGGGTATTTTACTCTTGTCAATTTTGACAAAATTAGTGCCAGATACTAGAATAAACACGCTAGATTGCTTAAACTTCGCGCACGTATTTCTTATCCCAATACCTTTTTGCCAGATGAAACCATATTTCCCCCATTGCCTCCAAGGGGTACTTTACTCTTGTCAATTTTCACAAAATTAGTGCCAGGTACTAGAAAAAACAAGCTAGATAGCTTAAACTTTGCACACGCAATTCTTATCCCAATACCTTTTTGCCAGGTGAAACCATTTTTCCTCCTCATCGCCACGAAGGGTAGTGGCGGCTTGTGATAATACGAGATGGTAGTGCCAGATGTTTAACAAATGTAAAAACCCTGCCAGATGCGCCCTGTCGGGTACCCCATACTGGAGGCGCCCTGTCGGAGGCTACGTCCAAATTTTTACCCAAAAGTCGTTTAAAGAACTGGCTTTGGGCAAAAATTTATCACGGTATTGTCAAAATAGATATAAAATTTTAATTAAAAAATTAATGAAGTGCGGGTACTATTATATCTATTATATGACTACTATTTATGGGGTTTCTAATACAAATTTAGCCAAGAAACAGGCCGTCAGGGTTAGTCTTATCCTAAACTTTGCCAATAAATTACTTAAAACTCTGTAAAATTATTATAAATTAGCTTGTCCCCAGTAATTAATGCTGAAAATCCTTGCAGTTTGTTATTACGATAAAGAGTATTTATATTAAAAAAATCACAAAAATAAAACTATATCTATTTACAGTATTTACACACGCGCACAAAGTTGCTTGATATACTAGTTTTAAAGTTTCCGATAAATGAAGTCCATTCTTCTTTCTTTTTTGGTTGCAAAGTTTTCAATTACTTTATTATTAAAATTTTCAATTCCATTTACAGAATGTTTTTTGCGGATAACATACCTAAAGCACTAAGTCTTTCTTCCTTCATTATATTTCTGAGAAATATTTTAATCCGTTTAAGCATTGAAAAACAGCGCTCTGCTTCAGATGTTGATATTTTTATGCATATTTTTGTCTGAAAATGAAAATTGTATACATGTTTCATTGAGGCCTATAGGCCAAAAACTTCTCCGACATAAATAAATTAGAAGCAACCAAATTGCAATAAAACGGCATCGCATATTTCTAAGGCGTCGCTTTTTATGCTGTTCTCTTTAATTCGTGCCTTTTTTCTTATTGGTTCACCAGTTTCTCCTTGCGACGTGTTTATTTCTCCTTGAATATTGTCAATAATGCTGTCCATTTGCTCCCGTATACCTTGAATTGCTGCTTCGAAATTCTCCAAATCTTTCTTGATCTCAACATAATCTGTGCATACTTTTTTTAATTGGTTAAAAATAATTTCCACGTGAGGCATTATAAATATAAAATTTGTATCCTGAAGTTTTATTTGTATCCACTTGCTTGATTAATAGACGACGAATCGCTTGAATTACTTTTTATAATGTCCACAACTTTACTGTAATGAGATCTTTTCTATTCTCGTAAACCTGCGATTAACTACCTCATCCAAAAATTTTTTGAGGAGACGTAGAAAAGAAAGAGCACAAACCAGATAAATTTGAAAAAAATATTCTAGCCTGCTTATTGACAGAACATACACTTGTCATAACTAAATTCATCTGGTGTGCATAGAAATGAACGTAAATTGCGAGAGGATATGTTTGTTTAATAATTTTTTGCACATTATTTAATCCACCACTCATTACAGACGTGCCGTTATAGCTTTGAGTAATTAATTTATTTGGACTATGTTTAAATAATGGATGTAAAACATTGAAAATGCATTCAGCGATTGATTTGGCGTCGTGTCCATCGAGCATGTCAAACCTCCAAAATCTCTCAACTAGTCGTCTTTTACACAAATATCTGAAAACTATAACTAATTGAAATTCACAAGCAACGTCCGTCGTTTCATCGGCAATCACTGCAACAAAAGGAGAATTTTCTATTTCTTTCCTAACTTCTTCGTGATAAACATCTAACATGCACTCAAGAAGTTCATTTTGGGGTTGTTTTTGAGGTACCTTTAAAAGCTTTTGAACTTTGAATATGAACCTTTAAGTTGTTGTCTAATTCGACGCTAAAATTCACCAGTTCCTTAAATATGCCTCTATTTTCCGAATTATATTTCTCATCGTGACCCCTTAGAGCTAACTCAAAAGCTCCACAAAACCTTATACAATTTATAATTTGATTTAAAACATATCGATTCATATCCGCTTGTTGATTATGTTTAATTAGAGCATCACGATAAGCCGAATTTAACTGGGGTTTTACATTTAACTTACCAAGCATGGAAAAGCTAAAAACATTATTCATGTGTACTTTAGATTTTTCGTGGGATTTCATTTTATCCCATAGATGGACAAGATCGTCTGTGCCTTTTTTTGACCAAGTCTCGTGCCTCCAAACAACAAAACACATACAAAACAGTTTATTAGTTTCTTCGCAACTACACAACCAATTATTTTTATCATAAATAGGTTTATTAAATTTACGACACCGCGATTTTTGCCCACTTCCACTTTGTTTTCTAATTTTTAAATCGGGAATTAGCCTAATTCTTTAATTTGTAGTTTTTCTTCTAGCGAAAGACCACTAAAAGAGTTTTTTAAGACGCCAATTTTGTTTATTGTCACAATAAAATAAAAACTCGGAAATAAGATATTTAAAATATTTAAACAAGTTTATCGAAAAAAAAGACATATAGGTATTAAAGTCACTAACACTTCGTAACGTAACGAAAAACTTAAAAGCGCGTAAAGAAATTCGGTTAATTCAGTCAACAATTCAGTCAATTATCGAGAAACTGCGATTATCTAAACCGCTATGGGCGCTGTGCCCGGCACGAACATTCCTTTATTTTACCAATTAAATACATGTAAAATGTCCCTATCTCAATCGGCAGAACTGCCGTTTTCAAGCTGACAAAAATCCCAGTTGGATGCGTGAATGCCATACCCAAAGGCCTCAAAAAACAAATGTCTGGGCTGGAATTATTGGGGATCGCATAGTAGAT